AGAGAGAGAGAGAGAGAGAGAGAGAGAGAGAGAGAGAGAGAGAGAGAGAGAATATATGACGTATGGGCTTGATTTTTGACTTGTCATCGTGACAGTAGTTAGCATATATGCATGCTAACTTTGTCATAAGTCAAATGTCAAGCCCATACATTTTTACGTATGTTAATTTAGTAAGTGCTTTTTCATGTAGAAGATATGACAGTTAAAAAAATAAGAGGAAAAACTGATTTCTTCCCTTTACGACAAATTTAATACCTTTTTTTTGTACAAATAGCATTAGCACAGAGACAGGTTGTACCCGCATCTTTTTGTGTACAATGTGATGAAAACATTTTTTTTAATTTGTAGGAAAACGGCCAATCTACATTTACAACATCATTTATTCTTACAGAGAAGAATACCCCGTATCTTTCAACATTAGCTCATTGTGTTCCATAACAAAAACATTAACATAAATTCGAAGAAGAAGAAACAACTTCTTCTTCGCCGTTTGTTTTTATGGGCGGTCACCGCTGCAGCAGGCCGAAATACGTATAAACACCGTTTCGAACAACGCTGCCAATTAATACTTTGACACATACCACCAGGAACAGAATGAAGATACTGACCCGGTCCACTTCTTCTCGTCGCTAAACCAAGCAGTGACTTCCAGGACGGACGGAGCGATTTTCAAGCTAACGGTGGTCAGTGATCACATCCGACGCTGATGCTCCTGTTTACTGTTTACGGTGAGGAAGATGACGATTAACCAGCAGAGGGCGCTATTACACAAAGCAAAACAAAAATTTACTGGCTTGATTTATTTTTTAAATACTGAATGAATTTTATTGAGTGAAATTGTTTACGTGAATGCATTTTATTGTGCTCTTGTTCCTAGCTTCTTTCGTACATTTTTCTTTGGATTGAAACTATTTCAACGTACGTTCCCAGCTATTTAGCCCATTCAGCATAAGTTATACCATTAAAGATGCTGCATATTTAATATCATACTATGATCATGTGTTTGACTATTCTTGTTCAATAATTAAACACATGAAATAATAAATACTGCTGAAATTAGGTCACATTTCTGTTTTACAGGACCGGTCTCTTCTTAGTGGTCATAATTTATTAGGATRGTTTACGTGAGCAATGCAATTTACACACAGAGCCGTGGGGGCTTCAATCTCAGCTGCAGTCATGTTAAATCTCTCCATTTCCCAAGTCTAATAACAGAGGCATAATAGGTGCTCTCTCAGACCAGCTGGCACCTGGTGCTGGACAGGGACAGAAGCTGGTGTGGACAGCACYGAGAGACCCAGGGGAAGTGGTCAGAGGGCCTGTTAAGGCATGAAGAACTGCAGTTGGATGTGTGARTGATTAAGATTGTGGTAATTTCCCTTGGGTTTTAAGTGAAATCCAGCATTGACGCTGACTAGATGCATGAATATGTATGTATAAATGCACATGGTGATAATCATGTCCATGTAACAGTTTGGGTTCATGTGTATACACATGGAACCCTGCAGGTGTATTCAGTACACTACAGTATGTACTGGCTTGCAATCAGCAGAGCTGAAAAGTACACCCAGTCATCCATCCATCTCTTTCTCTCTGTTATGTTTTATTCAACATCCTCCTCTCATATAGTCTCTTTCGTTCTTACTCCCATTTCTTCCCACTTCTCTCAACATTTTTTTTTGAGTGCCAGTTTTTAAATAGTGGGTAATATGAAAGAAAGGGCAGCTTGCAGCTCAGCCTTGATGACCTGCACCTCTACAAGGTTCTCGGCATTTCATAGAAACGAAATTTACTGATTTTGGTTTTTTTTTTTCTGACTTTTTTTCCTTGAGTAACTTTTAAAAGTCCAGTAGATAATCAGTCACGTGAAATGCTCAGAATGTAGTTTCTTTGATGGCAGGCAAAATACTGTAGCAGTGAGTGATTTAATGCTTGAACGTTGTGAGTTATGAAAGGGMTTATAAATTGGTATCATTTTATTTTTTAATTTCTGATGGCCTCTCTTCTCCCCTTATAGCCATCCTCTCCACACCATTATTATGAAATGTTAATTATAGTAATTAACAAGTGGAGCTTAACTCRGTTTTGGCTTTTTAGTTTCTGAAAAGCAGACTCACATTTAGAATTGACAGGAAGTAGCCTAAGGTCGGCAATAATAACTAATAATTAATTTTGTAAAACATCTGATATTAAAACGCCACCACAGCCATCTGTAAGGATACACCATGTACACTGTAGAAGCAGAATATCGACTTAATGATACTTGAATAATCCACATGCATGACCAACGTTTTTTAAATTTTTTTGTCTATTTGTTTTTGCATTTTCAGTCATTGTAGCCCTCAGAGATTTCATGTAGGGCATTTGTACCAATTTTATAGTGTCTCAGTTTGATTAAAGCCTCTTGAAGTGTTGTGATTTTCGGGCAAGAAAGAACCCAGGGTMCAGGCAGCTTCAAAAAGGCAAAATAAAYATTTATTAAAAATGATGACAGGGCAGCTGAAAAAAAAACTCTCTTGGTGTGGTAAACCAAGACAAGGAACCATACAGGCTGTGAACAGCCCAATGATCAGACAAACACTGAACACAGGACACAGAATATAAA